CCTTAACTTTTAAAAAAAAAAAAAAAAAACAAAACATAAAATGATTATTACAATTTTACTAAATTTGATTAAAAAAACATCCAAAGTAGAAATCAAAATATTATTTTAAACTATTATTTATTCTCATTCAAAATTATTTAAATAGAATAGACGAAATTAAAAAAAAAAATTCATTAATATTTTTTTACGGTTTAAAAATACATTTACCATTAATACCACGTTTAAAATTTTTTCATAAAACTTTTATAAGGAGCGTTAATATCTTTTATAATATTAAAAAAAAAAATTATTATCGTCAATATATAAATAGAAATTGTCTATTTACACTCCATAAATATTCTCCATACTCATTTTTTTAAAATATTTAACACTATTAATTAAGTATTTTCTTCGTGCTAATAACAGTTCAATTTATATACTGACCATAAAGGTGCATATAATTTGAAACGTAACAACTTAAAAAAAAAATGTTAAAAGGTGATTTTTATTTTTTTTTAGATTAAAGTATTATTGAAAAATTTTAATTCTTCAAAAGTATTTTTGAAACAGTAGTAACAATTTTCATAAAAAGAAATTAAGGTAAGTGTTTTTTTTTTTATTTTGATTTTTTTAAAAAATTAAAAGTATTAGTTCGAGGTATTTTTATTAATGTAGCAAAAAGTTAAATAATATATATATATATACCTTGTTTTTATGAAGAAATATAAATAATTTAAAAAATAGAGAACCTATGGCTATGGCTAAATGGCTATGGCTAAATGGCTATGGCTAAATGGCTATGGCTATGGCTATGACTAATTTAATTATTACGCATAACTAACCAATGGATGTCGAATTGCATGCGAAAACAGTGAAATGATTCAAACGGACCTAATCAGCCAAACAAACGCTCTGCTACAACTGCTTTCCGTCCTCGCCCTCCCTTCCCTTCCCTCTTTCTTCAGAATCTCAACCAAATCCCCCCATTCTTCCGCCATTTCAAGCCGCTCAATGTTCTGACGAATTTCCTGCCTCAGAACCGCCATTGTCGGCCCGATTTTATCTGCAATCGTGAACGATAACATCACAGAGAGAAACAGAAAGAGATCGACAGGGACAGAGGCGGAAAGCAAACCGAGGACGTGAATGAGCGAATTGCAGAGCGAAATGAAAGGTTGGACAGGGATGACGATGTTAATGGCGGTCGTTGCAGCATCCTCGTGGTCGTTGTTGATTCGCTGATCTTCAGGTTCTGGTTTGATGAGGAGGAGTTGCGAGAGTTGCTCTGTTGCGGACCTGATCGCGGATTTCTCCATTTCGGACCTTCCTCTATCGGCTTCAATGGCGGGTTCTGTTTCTTCCTTTGCCTTGCCTTTTATTCTCGGTTTTTTGGAATACAAAATTAGGGAGTTCGGATTTATTAATATTTTATTTTGTATCATCTGCAGTTTTTCCCTCCCTTGACCTGCAAAATTTATGAATTTTTAATCCTTTTATTAATTTTATATTCGAGCCAGTTTTCATCACAAATTTTGTCGATCCGAACATAGCTAGTGATTAATCTACGAAAATTGATGATTCGATCACCACTAGTGCATTTCAAATTAATTTATGCATTTGTTGCATTTGAAGTTCGATAGGTAAGCATAGATTCTTTGGTCCTTAGGTCCTTAATAATTTTGATGTTTTTCAATTTAGTCTTTCCAATTTAAATAACTTTTAACTTATATTTTAAATATTTGTAATGGATCTATAACTTTTTTGAAGAACAAGACTAGATCTGCAAAGTTTAGGGATGAATTACCTTAATGATTAAATAAATTTTTTTCTAAATTCGATTCGAATCACTCCACAAGCTAACTTATCAAGACTACTTGAATGACTCTAGCATGCAAATTTTCAGCCCACAAGATAACTTGATGAACTTGATCCAGACTATTGAATAACTCTAGCATGCAAATTTTCAGCCCACAAGATAACTTGATCTAGACTACTTGAATGACTCTAATATCAAGATAACTTGATCAAGACTATTTGAATGACTCTAGTATATCAAGATAGATCAAGACTACTTGAATGACTCTAGTATATCAAGATAGATCAAGACTACTTGAATGACTCTAGTATATCAAGATAGATCAAGACTACTTGAATGACTCTAGTATATCAAGATAGATCAAGACTACTTGAATGACTCTAGTATATCAAGATAGATCAAGACTACTTGAATGACTCTAGTATATCAAGATAGATCAAGACTACTTGAATGACTCTAGTATATCAAGATAGATCAAGACTACTTGAATGACTCTAGTATATCAAGATAGATCAAGACTACTTGAATGACTCTAGTATATCAAGATAGATCAAGACTACTTGAATGACTCTAGTATATCAAGATAGATCAAGACTACTTGAATGACTCTAGTATATCAAGATAGATCAAGACTACTTGAATGACTCTAGTATATCAAGATAGATCAAGACTACTTGAATGACTCTAGTATATCAAGATAGATCAAGACTACTTGAATGACTCTAGTATATCAAGATAGATCAAGACTACTTGAATGACTCTAGTATATCAAGATAGATCAAGACTACTTGAATGACTCTAGTATATCAAGATAGATCAAGACTACTTGAATGACTCTAGCGACTCTGGCATGTAAATCTTCAGCCCACAAGACCACAAGAAACTTGATCAAGACTACTTGAATGACTCTAGCGACTTTGACATGTAAATCTTCAGCCCACAAGACCACAAGAAATTAAATAAATCATAACGACTTTCTTATTCTCGTTTGATAAATAAAAATAATATTAGATTATTTTTTTAATTATAAAAGGCATCATAGAATATTAAATAATAGTGCATCATAAATTTTTAATTTAAAATTAATTTTTGTTAAAATTTAAAATATTATAATATTTTTTTAGTTTTTAAAATAATTTAATAAGCAAGAATTATGAAATATTTTTAATTATAAATACTCCACACATCTCTTTCTTATGTTATATTGTTGAATAAATAATTGTATTTTATCCAATAATATATAGATTATCTCTGCCAAATGTCTACAAATTATTGGTCATTTTCAGATTAAATTAATATTTTAATTAAATGTATCTTCCAAAGATTTTCCTGTTGGTTGGCTGTTTACAAATTTATTTATGTTATCCATTATTTTTATCATATTCTGAAAATTATGTAATTATTAGACAATAATAATTATAAATATATTTTGGAATGTTTTTTAAAGTATTATTTTTTTTTATTATATAAAATTGTCTTTACTTCCATTTTTCTTCCAAGAAAAATATAATTAAATGATTATTCATTTCATTTATTAACAATAATGGAATGTAGTCAACCATGATATTAAGTTTAGAATTATTTTTAATAAGTTGAAAATTTAGAATATTATATATATTTTTTAATTTCAAATTAAAATATTGAAAAATGCTTCAACACATTTTTAGTAAATTTAAGGATTATGGTATACTCATTTTCTATTAAGTTTTTTTAATATTATAGTTTAGTCCTTAATTTTTGTTGGATTTTACATTTTAGTCCACAAATTTCACAAAAACTATTTTTTTTTTCTATTTAGAGAATTAAAGAAATAAAAACAAAAATGGGATGAAAATTAGAAATATGTACTTTTAATTGTATTAATTAAAAGAGTCGACCACTATTTTAAATCTATCGTGGGGATAGGATGACTAAGAAACTATTAGATCCCACAATCAATCCCACATTGGTTGATGAGGAGAATGAAACACCCTTTATAATGGTGTAGAAACCTCTCTCTAGTAGACGCGTTTTAAAAACCTTGAGGGGAAATCCGGAAAGAAAAGCTCAAAGAGGACAATATCTGCTAGTGATGGGCTCGAGTTGTTACAAATGATATTAGAGCTAGACATAGGGTTGTGTGCCAGTAAAGGCGCTGGGCCCTGAAGGAGGGTGGATTTGGTGGGAGTCCCACATCGATTAGAGAAAGGAACTACAATGATATCAGAGACAGACACAGGGTTGTGTGCCAGTAAGGAAAGGAATTACAACGATATCAGAGACAGACACAGGGTTGTGTGCCAGTAAGGGCGCTAGCCCTGAAGGAGGGTGGATTTGGTGGGAGTCCCACATCGATTAGAGAAAGGAACTACAACGATATCAGAGACAGACACAGGGTTGTGTGCCAGTAAGGGCGCTAGCCCTGAAGGAGGGTGGATTTGGTGGGAGTCCCACATCGATTAGAGAAAGGAACTACAACGATATCAGAGACAGACACAGGGTTGTGTGCCAGTAAGGGCGCTAGCCCTGAAGGAGGGTGGATTTGGTGGGAGTCCCACATCGATTAGAGAAAGGAACTACAACGATATCAGAGACAGACACAGGGTTGTGTGCCAGTAAGGGCGCTAGCCCTGAAGGAGGGTGGATTTGGTGGGAGTCCCACATCGATTAGAGAAAGGAACTACAACGATATCAGAGACAGACACAGGGTTGTGTGCCAGTAAGGGCGTTAGCCCCGAAGGGGGGTGGATTTGGTGGGGTCCCACATTGATTAGAGAAAGGAACGAGTGCCAGTAATGACGATGGGCCATAAAGGGGGTGGATTTAGTGGGGTCCCACATCGATTAGAGAAAGGAACATTGAATAAAGAAAGGTGGATTTGGTGGGGGTCCCACATTGAATAAAGAAAGGAACGAGTGCCAGTGAGTGAGGATGCTAGGCCTTGAAGGAAGGTGAATTTGGTGGGTGACCTAGAAAGGATGCTAGTGCTAGGTCGTGAAGGAGGGTGGATTTGGTGGGGTCCCACATCGATTAGAGAAAGAAACGAGTACCAATAAGGACGCTGAGCCCTAAAGGATGATGGATTAGAGAAATGAATGAGTACCAGCAAGGACGCAGGGCCCTGAAGGGGGTGAGTTGTGCTATCCCTCAATCCCAAATTGGTTGGGAGGAGAACGAAACACCCTTGTTAACCCTGTTCGATCGTTACATTATTATTATTTAAATAATTAACGACGACTTTATTTTAATTCTAAACTAAGGTAGAAAAAAACAAAATATTTAAAAATTAAAAGGCCAAAATAGAACCATAATGAAAGTACATGAACCTAAATAAAATTAAAATGGAAAATAGTGATAATTACAAAAGAAAAAAGTTTAAATTAATTGAAAGAGTTGTCTTTTTAAAAATAAAAAAATAAAAAATAAAAAATAATTATAATGCACGTTAATAAGAGTACAGTTATTGCGTGCATGTACCTGAGGGGTTTGTCTAAATGTGGAAGAACATAAATTAATTTTAAATTTAATAAATACTATTTATTTCTTTTTTAGATTAATCTGAATATTTAGCCACCAATGCGATAACTACAAATATTGTTGGGTTTTGGTAGGACAAACTCTACACTTGTCTCCCATTTTGGAATTATTTATAATATTTAATTTTAATAACGTTTTTATAATTTTTTTTTTGTTTAATGTATAATAAATCCGTAAAATTTCATTATTTTATCACAAATTTTTTTTATGTTACATTCATATAATTTAGTATGAATATTTATCTAACAAATTTGAATTATTTATTTAATAAATTTATAAATTTTGAAAATATTGAAAAAAATTAAAATTTGATAGGTTCCATATTTTTATAGTTATATATGTCTTCTGTCTCTATTTTATTTCCCATTTTTGTCAAATTTTCTATTTATTTTTGTGGCTTCCATAGAAAAATATAATAAAATGTTCGGAATAATTTCTAACTTCAAATTACTCTTAGAAAATATAAATATATGTAATAGCTCAAGCCCACCGCTAGTAGATATTGTCCTCTTTGGTCTTCCTCTTTCGAACTTCCTGTCAACCATTTGTAATAATCCAGGCCCGGTTAGCTTGTCGTCTTTGGACTTTCCCTTTCAGGCTTCCCCTCAAGGCTTTAAAACGCATCTACTAGGGGAAGGTTTCCACACCCTTATAAATGGTGGTTTGTTCTCCTCTCCAACCAATGTGGGACATCATAATCCACCCCCCTTCGGGTCCCAGAGTCCTCGTTGGCACTCTTTCCTTCCTCCAATCGATGTGCGACTGCCCCCAAATCCACCCCCTTTGGGGCCTAGCGTCCTTACTGGCACACTGCTTCGTGTCTACCCCCTTTGGGGAACAGCGAGAAGACTGACACATCATCCGGTGTCTGGCTTTGATACCATAGAACTTTTAAAACCCGTCTACTCATAAAAAGTTTCCACACCCTTATATAGAATGTTTCGTTCTCCTTTCCAACCGATATAAGATCTCAAAATCTATCTCTGAAACACTAAATTGTTACCCATTAATAATTGAGGATGATGTTATGTGAATAATATCCAATTATTTGTAGGGAGAGGAATTGAATTTAAAAAGGGGTGAGTGGATAAAGT